ACGGCCGCGCTATCATCCTCCTTACCGAGGGCGAGTCGTTCTTCATGAAGAACAACCGCCACTTGCCCATTCAGCCCCACCCCGATACCGAAGCAATCAATGCCGGCGCTCCTTCATGCTCCAAAGCTGTCTTGCAGGCCATGTACACCATTGAAGAGGAGTCAAAGCAACGTGCCTACTCTTCTTTCATTGGTTTCTTCGCTGGATCGGGTCTTCTGAGACAACTTCGTCTCGACAAGGCTGGCCTTGTTCAACTCGCCAACGAGATGGCTGTCAAGGGCATGGGATGCCCCGAGCCTCCCCCAATGGACAGAAAGGTCATCGGCAAGATGGGTTTGAAGGGTGTTCCGGGATTCAACTACGCAGACCCAAATGAGATGTCCCGAAGCGGATCTTCCAGACCTCGCAATTCTTCCCGAGGTGGCAAGAGTCGCGATGCACTCAGCCCCGGAGCTGGGCAAGGGGACCGAGGCGGTATTGAGAAGAAGCGTGGAGGAGGCCGCGGAGGACGTGGAGCACGTCGTGGTGGTGGTGGACGTGGAAAGCCGAGATCATGATTCTTTCGCATATTAATGTCAAGCACAGCGTGCTAAAATGTTATTATTCATAGACACTAGAGACTTACGACCTGCTACACAAAATTCCTTAATCGAAACCAAAATTACTTGCGAAGAGTTGCCCCCATGTAAATCTGTGAAGTCGTAAAGCCAACCTCGAAGCTAGCCACGGTGTCACAATTGCTTTTGAGTCATCTATAGAAGCAGCCACCTAGGTATTACTACACAGGATTTTGATGTAGTTAATTGACACAGTGTCATGATTGATCTTGACAGTTGTTCTTGGGACTGAAGACCGTAAATTGGTCAGGTGATCGCGGGTAAACACAACATTTATGACCTTCCAACTCTCCACCATTCATTCCACCACGTCATCTTTAAATTTGAACATTCGAGGGCGATCAGCTATCTATATTGATAACTGCCCAATATGGATCCGAGCTACAAAGCTCGCAAGGAGGCATTTGTGTCTAATCTTGCGGGAAGTACAATCCTCGAGATCAATGCAGTCACACTCGTTGCTTCAGTGAGAACCCCGAGGCTTTACCCAGCAATTGATAGATTCTGACCTGTGAATACTCTAGACATCTGTCCTCCTTTGGTCCGCGCTCCAGTCCCGCTTATCCTTCTTCACACCCTATGGTCCTGCAGCACTCGCGACGGACTTCATCCTCAACGTACTAGCCATCTTATTCGCGACGACTGCATACTCCTCCGCGCCGCTTCTCCTCAACATCTTCCTCGTCTCCCCTGCGGCCCTTCTATTCCTCACTCGAAACAGTCTGCGTACCCCTCAAAAGGCCAAACCGCCGCGCAAATCCAAGGTCAAAAATGAGAGCTCCCAGGAGGAACAGCAGGCCTTGCCCACCCACCCATTCTTGACCACGTACCGTGCGGCTATGATGATTGTTACCTGCATAGCTATTCTCGCAGTCGACTTCCGCGCGTTTCCACGTCGTTTTGCCAAGGTGGAGAACTGGGGAACATCTTTAATGGACTTGGGTGTGGGCTCTTTTGTGTTCTCCGCCGGAGTAGTCTCTGCTCGTGCGGTCCTAAAGGGTCGGAACTCGAAATCACCGAGATTAGCTTTGCATAAGAGAATGATCGGGTCGGCTCGGCACTCCATTCCTCTGCTTGTGCTCGGCCTCATCCGACTGTGGAGTGTCAAGGGATTGGACTATGCGGAACATGTGACAGAATATGGTGTGCACTGGAACTTTTTCTTCACGCTTGGCTTTTTGCCTCCTTTCGTGGAGCTCTTTGAATCCTTGACGACCCTGATCCCCTCCTATGAGGTGCTTGCACTTGGAATTGCAGTACTCTACCAAGTGGCTCTGGAGTCGACTGATCTGAAGGGTTACATTCTCGTGTCCCCGCGGGGACCAGATCTGCTGTCCAAGAACCGCGAGGGAGTCTTTTCTTTCATTGGATATTTTGCGATCTTCCTCGCTGGACGTGGTGTTGGAGTCCGCATCATTCCTCGTGGTACCTCCGCCACAAAATCGCCACAGAAAGCACGGAACTCCATTCTGATGCAATTGGTTCTTCAGGGAATGTTCTGGTCGACCATGTTCTTCTTTAATTCCACCTACGCATTCGGCTATGGTGCCAACATCCCAGTGTCACGCCGGCTGGCTAACATGCCATACGTGCTTTGGGTGTCAGCATTTAACAGTGCCCAGATTTTCCTGTTCTGTCTGACCGAGACTGTGTTTTTCCCCGCGGTTCACCGAGCGACCAGCAAGGAAGGCGAGGCAGAGCAGACGACGTTTGCAACCAGTCGCATTCTACACGCCTTCAACCGCGGTGGCCTTGCACTGTTCCTGATTGCGAACCTGCTTACTGGGGCAGTGAACCTCAGCATTCCAACATTGGATCTCAACACGCCGGAGGCCATGGGCATTCTGGTTGTCTATGCAGCGGTGCTAACTGGTGCTGCTCTGGGGATGGACAAGTACAATATTAAGTTGAGCTTGTAGATATATAGCACTCATAGATGTAGTATTACCCAACTTAAAAAAATAATAATCAAAAATTATATATAGAAAAGTGTCTTGCACAAAGTATGCCTCCTTTTCTTACCTTCTATACACATAAAAACACGCCTAAAAAGACATTCCAAAATAATATGCAAAAAACACTACCAAAAGACCTGACAACTGTTCTTGTCTCATGAATGTGTTGATAATTCATGTGCTCCGCATCGGCGGAGATAACTTTGCATGTGATATCATCGGTGGAGTACATGTTCACTCGGAGAATTATGCAAAGCGTTCTGCAACAAACACCATGCCTACCAACGAACAATCTTTTCTCAATTATCCTCCACCACGTGAGGGTCCCAATGTGCCGTACAAGTATGAAGACCAGGTCTTACCGGTCTTCCGTGGCATTCCCCTAGCCATCGGCGCTACATTGTAAGCTACAGGAGAGCGCCATTGAGCGATCACAACATGCTAATCTCCCGCTGTTTACGCTAGAATCCATAATATCGGGTTTATCCAAAGCCATTTCTGGCGTAATGCCGGCTTCGGTGTCATTCGTGAAATCCCCCACCTGGGCCAGTACGCCGGCCGCTATGATCCCACGGTGATCCCAGTCGACAATATCAGCCAGGCCGAGTCAGCAGCAAAAACGACCTCTGCCACTGTGGAACGTAGGAAGGGAGATTATGGATACTATACTTCTGCGGATTATCACGCGCTCTACTCGTCGGGGGAGTTGACCCCAACAGCTGTCATTGAGACGCTATTGCCTCTGGTCCGACGTGATACCCAGCCGCCCGGAAAACACTCAACTGCTTTTCTCGAGTCCCAGGCCGAGTTGATTCGTGCAGCAGCGGAACAATCTACGGAGCGATACAAGAACGGCCAATCGTTAGGTCCACTCGACGGCGTGCCGGTCGCAGTCAAGGATGAGGTGCACCTGACAGGGTATAAACGCACGCTAGGCTCGAAGTTGGATTTCAAGCACGGCACTGATGCGACTTCGTGGTGTGTGAAGCAATGGCTGGATGCCGGAGCTATCGTCATCGGAAAAACGTCCATGCATGAGATTGGTCTGGGTGGGTTCCCATTGGTCACCGTGTAGTTTCATCTGCAGGTAATAGCTAATACTCTTTAGACACGAACAACAATAATCCCAACTATGGAACACCTAGAAATCCCCACAATAAGGAGTACTATTGTGGCGGTTCTTCCGGTGGCTCAGGATATGCTGTCGGAGCGGGCCTTGTACCCATTGCGCTTGGCGCAGACGGCGGAGGCTCAATTCGTATCCCGTCATCATTTTGTGGTATCTGGGGTCTGAAGCCTTCGCATGGCCGTGTTTCCGGTGCGCCATCCCAAAGTCTCGCACCCACTGTTGGTGTTATCGGGCCTATGGCTGCCAGCATCGATGACCTTGCCCTCGCCTATCGTATCATGGCCACTCCTGCACCAGATTCAGAAGACCCGATCTCATCGCAGTTCCCCTATCCTGTTCCTCAGCACTCTGATGCCAAGAGGACGAAGACAATTGGTATTGTCCGCGACTGGAATGACCGCGCCGAGGGCCCTGTGCGCGCTGCGCTTGATCGGGCGCTCGACTATTACCGCGAACAAGGCTACAACGTTGTTGATATCACAATTCCTTACTTGCCCGAGGGTCAGCGTGCCCACGCTCTTACCATCATGGCGGAGATCGCATCTGGGGTTGATGCAAACAAGATCCGGCAGCTCACAGCCCCGAACAAGGTGCTTGTCTCCATGGGCATGTACCAAGTTACAGCACAAGACTTGCTCGCCTCCCAGCGGCTGCGCAATCTCCTCATGACGCATCTCGCCCATCTCTTCAAGACCCACCCCGGGCTGCTCATCGTCTCGCCCACAACGCCTATCCCTGGGTGGCATATTGATGGTGGTGAGGCGGACTTGTCTCGCGGTTTGTCGGATGCCAAATCCTCTGTACGCAATATGGAATATGTTTGGCTTGCCAACTTTACTGGCTGCCCTTCTATCAGTTGCCCTGTTGGTTACACCCCCGATGGCGGTGTGCCTATCGGTTTGATGGCTATGAGCGAATGGGGTACCGAGGAAGAGCTGATCGCTTTTGCTCGAGATGGAGAGCCTATCTTGGGCCTGGATAGCGGCAGTCCCTCGCTCGAGGAAAATGGAATTACCTCCGCAAGCAAGGGTCTACGAACTCCTTCTGACGACCTCTCTGTGTGGGAAGATATCATCGCACAGGCCAAGGAGAAGATATCGAAGTAAGGAGAAGGAAGATTCTAATCAACTGTGGAAGGATTTTTGTCATTTAGTATATCCCCGTGTATTTATTTGCAAATTACGAGACAAATATTTATTTTTGTCCGAACAAGATACGTCTCAGTCAAGCTTCTCTGTTTAATTTCCAGCCATCTCTTTCTCGGATTTTGAAATCTCCTTAGTCAGGTCAGCCTCTGCGTTATTCCTTGCCGTATTCCTTGCCCGAGGTCCGCATCCGTACGTGCATCGGTGCACCATCCTTGGGGTGCGACGTCGCTTTCCCGGTGGTATACATTCGTTCACCCTCAACAGTCCGGCGATCCACTTTGAAGCCCTGAAGTTCCCGCACCTCATCCCACTTATCCCAGGCCATCTCAATATCAAAACTACGGACAGTAAATACCAACACCAACTTCAGCACAACGACCGCCAGTTCCTGCCCGATACATTTCCTAGGCCCAAGCTGGAACCCACGCCATATATTCTTCGCCGGATGCAACCTGTCGCCTTCCAGTGCAGAAAATCGCTCAGGTATGAATTTGAGCGGGTCGACGAAGTTAGCTGGATCATGGTGAATTGTGATAGAGCTGTCAAAAAGATCGAATCCGTCTGTCGGCCATGGCTCGTCCTCGCCATTTATTTTCAGGTTGAATGAAGGCTGTCCTTCCCGGATTGTGATCGTTGCTGGATTCATGCGCAGTGTCTCCTTGATCACTCCTAGTGTATATTGTAAAGAGTCTAGGATATGGGGCGCTTCCCGGATCTTCTCTGCAGCAAGGCTTGGATCAGAGCCAAGAATGGCGTCATGTTCGGCTTGCAGCTTCGCGACACATTCGGGGTTTAGCTGAAGTTGTCTGAATACACGGGGAATTGTGATAGACAGCGCATCATCACCGCCAAAGAAAAATATCATCAGCTGGTAGAAGACTTGCTCGATGAAGGCTTCATCTGGGGTATTGGTGGCGGTTCCCTTGACTCCAAGCTCGCCAGTGTACTCTTCAACGGCAGACCGGATTATAGTCCGTGGAGTATCGTTGGCAGCGTTTATACCTTTTGTAATAAACGGTCGAAGATGTTTGAAGAGCTGGTTCCTCTTCCGTCGTACAATCAGTTTGAACAACGGGGTGATCCTCCACAGAAGTTTGCGAGGGCTCAGAGTTATTTCCATGCGGCTCAGTTGCTCGCGATAAGCAATGGTGAAAGGCGAGGGATACAGCGATTGAGAGTTAAGCCGGGTGTCGCTATGATTATCAGCAAAGAGTAGTGAATATTCATGAGTCGATAGGCTAGACTTACAGAACCACCCTTCCTGTAACATCAAATGCCAAGTTGCTGGATATCTGCTCGAAAGGGAAAACCTGACCCCATTGGCCATCTCCACCGGAAAGGCCTCTAAGCACATTTGCGAAGGTCTCAACCTCCTCGATAATAGCAGGTATCCAGGTTCTGATGTTGGTCCTGCTGAATCCGGGGTTGAACCTCGAGCGCCACATGTGCCACTCATCCCCGTGCATGCAGTTGAGGTCCCTCCCATTCGAAATGGGATTTAAAAACTCTCCTTGCATCGGAGACTTTGGCAAATTGCTCCCAATCTCCATTTGGTTGGATACATAGGCCTGCAGGGAAAACGCCATCGGCCTAGAAATAGGCCACACGTCAAGGTAAATGACAGGGGGACATTGTTGCTCGTTTGGGAAGAATTTCGGCCAGTATTTGATTATGTAGAAACCAAAAGTCTGGATAAAATTGGCGTCGAAGGCCCAATCTCTGTAGAATTGAATAACAATGAGAAAATGTCCCAACAGAAATGAGTGAGGCAGGATTGGCTGGTGATGTTAGCTTTGGATTCTTTTCGGCGAGACGAGAAACGTACTATGCCTCGAGACTGAAGTCTTCTGAATTTCATTCTTGCTTGATATAGCTGCGCAGTAAGCTGCAACGCTAGCACCGCTACGATCGTTATAGCAAGCAGAGAGAGCTTCTCCCCTTTGCCCAAATCACCCAGTTTGAGCGGTAGCAGAAACGAAAACATGGTTGCTGTGTCTTGGGAAGAAGTAAGTGCTTCCATTTTCAAGAAGAGATAAGCATCAATGAGGAATCCGCAAAGAGTTATAGTTGAATGGGTAGCACAAAGGGGGGAGATTTGGGACTATATATCTTGCATTTTCTGATTCAGAACAAAAGCTGTCCAGTGAGTCTGTATCATAGCGTAGACAGCATCGCCAAGTGGCAGGGGTCTATGCAGAAGAATTTGCAGCTCCAAGGATGTTTCTTATTGGAACATGCCCGTGAAGTCTACCTCGCTACGCAAGCGGTGTGTTATCGTATTGGATGTCACTTGCATAGTTGCGGGCCATCAAGGTAACACTTAGTGGGTCTACACTATGATTAGGATTGAGAGTTTACAAATACGAACTTGGGTAAAGTATGATTATCTACTGTAGTACTCGACATACTTTAGGTATATATGTAGGCTATAAACCTCGAATATTGCGTGGTTCCCTATCCAGTGCCTGTTGACAATTGTGGTTACTGCTCAGTTGATTCACATTGTACGGAGTAGCCCTAATACTCAACGAGAATCTTCAGACTCGCACGCATGCAAGATTAGCGCCACCGACGCAAGTTCAAATTTCTCACGCAGTTTCCTGCAAACACCCTGCATCATGTTGTATCACCGCCGATGTATGATATGACGTGTCTCCATAGAGGGGTTGTTGGTGGGGGCTGGGGGGGGGGGGGGGGGAGGATTTATTCAACACGGAAAGAAAGTAAATTCTATCATCAGACCGATTTATATGGGAATGAAGAGGTTGGACACTTTACAATGTCCATTTTATGCAAAGATGAAATTGCAAGAATGCCAAACCGATACTTGCAGTTTTGATCCTTCATCTGTACTGTTCAACATGTGTTACTTGCATACACTATATTTGGGTCTGTCATTTTAATTCACAGATAATCTGCATATGTGGCCTTCATGTTCAGCGATCCTGTTCAGGCAGGGGTGTACGTGCATCTTTGGACGGATCTTGCAGATCCATCGGCTATCATGACTACATAGTATAGTCGTCCTGCCTACGTATTAATCTTACCTGTCCTCTAAGGAAAGCTAGCTATCGTTCTATTATGCACTAGTACGTTGGCTTTTCTTAATTTATTTTTATTTTTATTTTTTTCTTCTTTATTCTTAGCTATTAGCTATAATAGTACGTACTAGTCCTCCGTATATATTAATTTGCCTGACCTATCCTTTCTTTTATTATACATTTTGTCATATACTCGTTGATATATAGAGGATACAAGTAGATAGTTACACAGCAGATATTCTTAGTGGCATGGCATTGCTTAGAGGCCCCTCTTACATACATACCTAGTTAATTTGTGTAACGACTAACACTTGGTGTATTTTAACTTCTCAAGATCCCTATCTCGATCGATGTAACTCAATGCCACACTAGGCCTAGTATGCAATAAAATGTCTCAGCAGGTGCTCGGACGCTTGAGATTGCGGTTCCTTCTCTTGTCGAGTGCAGTGTTTCTGGCGGAGATGCCTCTGGGCTATAGAATATACAAATTTCACCCTCTACTTTAGTACACCTCCCCCGGTGAGTCCAAATACTCGTAAGAAACCATGAAACGATGCAAAGAGGGCATCAATGCAACCGTAGCCGTAGCGAAAGACATCCCGCCATTCATTCTTCGAACATATTAATCCTTTGACCCATGTTCAATGATGGCCCTGAAACCAATGAACGTCCGGTTTGGGCGCATTGTTTATGCAAGTCTGATCCCTCTAAGGTTAGGTTGGCTCCTATTGGTCTTCTAATAGCAACACCTTCGGACATCACCGCGAGATCAGTGAACAAGGGGATTAATGGTGTACGGACTATGTGGGCGTGCAACTTACGTGTCACTACTTCGTATACGCAGGTTTAGGTTTAGATAGAGGCAATTTGCAAGGTACATGCTAGCCATGCATTGTCTCTACCTAACATAAAAGGGACCATGTTACCTTCTGGTTTGGACATTCTCTTCAACACTTCCACAAATCACTCACAGAACAATCTGAACCTCCTCATACAAGATGCAGGTATCTTCTACTTCTTCCGCTGCCGGCCCTGTCTCAACCATTCCCTATGTATTCGAGACTGTACAGGGCTACAAAGTTCCCGTCTTCTTTTCTCGTTACCCCGCCGGAATCAGCATTGCTGCTCGGGAAGTCGAAGATGCGCTCAGAAAGATTGACGAGGAAGCTTCCGAGGAAGGGACAAGGGAAAGACGTCGAGCACTAATCCGACACACCAACCCCTACGGTGACCCCTTCGCTATTTGCCATTGCTCGGCCTTCCCAGACAGACTAGCTCTGTTGTCCTGTCTGGTCGAGGTAATGTGGATTCATGATGGTAAGACACCAATGTGCTCAACATATATGTACTATGCTCACGATGGAACTATCTACAGACGTGACGGAGGAGATGGATCATACCTCTGTAAGAGTGCTGGAAGTGTGTATACTGATTACCCTCTAACATTCTATAGGCATGCCGGGAGCATGATGAGTTGGCAAAGGTCCTTCAACTTGACATTGATCCCTCGATGTTCGAGTCAGGAAATGTGCGACAAAAGTCGCTGGCAGTTGTGCTCCGAAAGTCAATTGACATTGATCCTAAGCAAGCTCCTGCTATGATCGAGATGCTGAGAAACTACCTGGCAACATTCGATAATATCGGTGGTGACTTCACTCGAATGGAAGAGTATATGCCCTACCGGATCGCCAACTGCGGCTACTGGTAAGTTTTGTGCCTTTCTAAGGAGTTCCCCCGGTACAAGTCTGACTATCATCATCAAGGATGTCCTCTTACTTCATTCGCTGGGGAATGGATATGACCCTCAGTGAGGAGGATTATGCCAGCATCGAGCAATTCGACATTGCGATGGGGAATGTCCTCGGTCTGACCAATGACTACTTTAGTTGGAATATTGAGAAAGACCAGGAGACAGATCGAATGAGGAATGGAGTGGTGGTTCTGATGAAGGAGTATCATACCACAGCGGATGCGGCCAAAATGATGCTTCTTGGTATTATCGTCGAACAAGAGTCTCTGGCTGCAAAGCTCAAGGAGGAACGATTGAAGAAACCCGTTTCAACGGAGATCTTGCAATACTTCGAGGCTATTGAGCTTTATGTTGGTGGAAGCTGCTATTGGCACTCGACCGCGCCTCGGTATCAGGTCTTTGAATGAATATAGATAGACACTGTGGATAGGTATATTTTATAGAATAGATTTATCTAACGTTTTTGATATGGCCCTCTAAAGAAACCTAAAGCCTGGTAAACCGATTAGCACGTAGGGTGTACAAGCCAAGCGGACTAAGACTTGAAGTAGAAGAATTGGCTATGTCCGATGGCTTTTCGTCCGACGGATCAATTCTCAATTATCTACGTCGAATGTAAAGACGCACCAAAAGTAGTCATTGGCTCAGAAATGAAATCCTAGTTAATATACATCAGATGACGAAGACGCTGCATCAAAACAAACAAAACAAAAATCCTCCTCGTAGTAATCTCGTAAGTGTCAAATCCATATTCCCTCAAGAGGATTTGGGATAAAGAATTCACAACCTAGATGGGCTGCTTCACCATGATCCTGGAGCTCCCTCAGGATCCGATCGCTAGGATGAGGCCCATCAGTAAGGTTCTCCTTGATGTGAATAATGTAAACCTTTAATCCTTCCAGAGGAAGGGCCGCAGTATCATCCCAATTCTCAAGGTCCGGCTCTGCCAGAACATCTTCAATGTCCACTCGGGGTATCTGAGGAATCTCGAATGACTCGCTCGGATGTGATCGAGGTTCAATCAGCGGCTCGGACGTCCTGCCTTTATCGGCAGAGGATCTTGGAGTTCGTTTCGACCGAGGGCTCACTTGCTCGCTGCTGATCTCAACGAAGCCTACGGTTTCACGTTTGCGTTTCTTCTCCCCCGTGTTGTTCGGATCCCGCACTTCTATGACTTTGCTGGCTAACACGCTGAGCTCGGACACTAGATGCCGCGGACACATGTGGCCGTACAAATATGAGTCGTCGGTGCTGTCATTGTAGGAACATTCGATGAAGATCGCTCGTAGGTTGCCAGTAGCAATTTTCGGTGCGGCGGCTTCCCATACTCGTTTGTTGTGAGTTCCCATGGAAACCGAATCCGGCTCGACGTCACCGAACACGATGATCTCGTGGCCGGTGTGATGATCGCGCAAGAAAAAGGCAGAGCTCTCGACTGTTGACATCATTGGCTCTTTGGGGTTGGATGGGAATAGACGTGGGGAGCGAGCGGGAGAATAGAAGCTGGCAATGGTTAAGAACATTTCTTGCAAAGATTGCAAATTTTAGCTTACCTGCCATCAGTACAGTCGACTGAAATCGCCCTTGAAGGAAGCATCAATTGATGATCAGAAAAGATGGTACTCCCGACGCGATGATGCGTTCCGCTTTCTGGATGGTATCGCTGCTTGCACCGGCCATGGCTAACGCTCAAGCATTTAGTCAATAGGCCATTGCAGGCCCTGACATAGCCTCTACTATCTCCACGACCGAAACGAGGATTCCCACCTTCCACCAAGCGCTGGTACGTAAGCAGACCAGCCCCGCCATCCTCGTCCGACAGGTTAGGCCAGATGACATCGTTGAACATGTGGTTTTTGAGGGCGGATAGCACAGATGGTAAAGCAGCCACAGGCTTTGGTCCATTACCCGCCTCCAAAATCGGGGTGTTAATGGCCAGTCCTGAGATATGATCTAGATGGGGGTGTGTAATGAGAACAGCACCGATAATTTCGCGAAATACATGGGCTGCATTTGCCTGTGCGGTTTTGCAGGGCAGCTCAAGCCCCTGAAAGGGCCCACTTGTCATTATCCCCCGATCATCCTTGCATTCGGGGATGTATCGTTCCAGCAATCGGATAATGCCTGCAAGAAGGGTACCTGCATCAACGGCTATCACCGAGTCTGAAGACCATTTTGTTGATGTTGACCGGACAAGAATACCCGTGACGCTATCTTCGCGGGGTCCACCAGTCGGGCCCTGAGGAAGTCAGCATCCAGTAAAGTACGAGTTGCAGGTTCCCGTCTGCTAGAACCCGCCATCGGGCAAGTTGAAAAACAACAACATTTGATCGGCAAGATATCTATCAAAACTCGACACATGATCCGGCACGTGGCGGGTTCTGCAACAGACAAGATACAGATCAACGGGTCCTAACTTACCAAGACAATGACTTGGAATGCTGCTTTCTCAGCCACTGTTTCACTTGCCTCGTCCATAGTGGACAAGTGAGACACGAATGGTAACCTAGACTGGTCACAGCCCAAGAGCAAGTGAAGCTGCCCGAGCGCGCCTAATCCCCAATATTAGGCAGGTCTCAATGATAATGTTTCACGAAGGCCGAAAAAGATTGATTGGTGACCAAGTTGTGGGATATGAGAAGCGGCTAATAAAGGCTTGGGAGAAGGAGGGGGATGAATTACGTGGCGACGCGATATTAGCGCACACAGGTTGCGATTCAGACCGTTTAAAGATATGACCCAGAACCAACAGTCCTTTGTATATTATGTGTCATACCCAGAGTAGCCTATCTCTAGGAGGTAGAGTTGTTCCTCGACAGTGGAGAGAGATAGAGACACGGCGCGAAGCCACGGAAATCCGGGGGCTGGGTCGGCAGAGTGCAGATAAGAGAACTCCGATTTCGTGGGGTTGATGTTTCCCCAGCTCGTATCACAATGGGGCGTGCCTTGGTGCAGACACTACTGCAAGCACACTGCAAGGGCTGATTGGAGGATATTTGTTTCAGTGAGCAAAGAGAGGTTTGGTCGGAGACACGGAGATACCGGCAGCCCTGGAGTGGACCAGGTGGACTCCAGTGGGGAATGATTGGAAAGGAGCCACGGATACGGGATGAAAATCTGGGGTCTAGTGAGATATCAGATCCGCTGGAGGGAGATTTAATGCCCTTGGTGTGCCATCAGATCTTGGATGTTGCCAGGTTTATCGATGACGTTCACACTACAATCTCACCTAGACACCAAAGGATTACGTTTACCCATAATCCACATTGCACAGATTGAGATATTCTTAAGGTAGCGAAACATACCCCATACATGTTTTTATAATCGCATCAGTCAAGTTGTGTAGTTGATCGGCATATAACCTATCAATAGGTCTGCCGACCGAATTTCAAATAGATAAATAGATATACACATTTAACATAAAGAGGGTATGCGGTCAAAAAAAAAAAAAAAGGGCAAGGATGGCAAAACGACTGTGCCCTTATACATGAAATTCATTGACGCCCCAAGGGTAAGGGATAAGAGGGACACAAAGTCCACTCCAATTCAGACAGAAAGAATCTCATAAAAACCAAGGATCTGCCTTCGCCAACTGCTATAACGCCTTTCCGTGACCCCGCTAAATAAAACGACAAAGAAATGATCAGACAAAGCCCCTCATGCGCCACGAGGTATGTTCAAAAGCAAAGTGGGGGAATAGATGTTGCATCAGGACCGATCGTTGGCCTCTGAGTTGTGTTCATTCAGGTCTCTTTCCACCACAGTTTGGTAACTTGGTAGAAATTGACCATCAGAATCCATGGTGTCACTAGATGCCCTAAACCTAGGTGGACATTCAGAGGCATCACTGCCCCTGCGACTGCCGTCGGGACTAGAATACTCTGGCGGCGGGGCCTCGGGCTCCTGGTTATCGGGCGCTACCGCATCATTTCCCTCCACATTGGCCAAAGCAAAACGACTGGACCCCTCGCCAGCATCTTCATGAGAAGGAATGTGCGTCAGCTGAGCAAGGGAAATGTCAGTTGGTGATCGAGAAGGACCCGGGCTGGGCGCCGGTGGAATCCTAACACTTGAGCCTGAGGCCGCGTAGTTTGCATTTTGGTAAACGCGCTGGGAGATTTGAGCCGCACTCTCGCGGCCGGACTCAAGTAGAATGCTGCCTTGTTCACTGCCATAGGGTGGGGGCGGGGCGAGGCTGCCAGTCATAGGGGCCAAGCCCCATTTTTTGACATTGCCTTCGATGAACACAAATCCCATTTGACCAAAGTTCACATGGATGGTGCAAGGCCCATTAGCACCAATGGTGGGGAAGAGGTTTTGTGAGCGATAGTTGTGAGCCACATCTTCCAATTTCTTGCCATTGCGGGTGAAGAAGACAGTGCCAGATCGAGGTCGGTAACCTACACCAACAACATCACCCTGAAGTAGTGGAGGCCCGTATGGAGTGGGATTAAATGGTTGGTTAAGTCGGCGATGCCCGGTGGATTGGTAGGCAACAGAGGTTTTATGGAAGCCTAGCGGTTGTTAGCGGGAATTGCTCGGTGGAAACACTTCTGTTGTAACACATACCAGGCATTCGGAACAGGGGGTATGGTTTCGTAGTCAGACCGATGCCGATCATAGTCGAGTCAGGCTTATCATATATCTTCGCCTCCCAGTAGTAAACATCATTCTGCTTGGGGATTGGCAGGTTGGTCTGTACACTGCACTCCGAATCGAAGAACTCAATCTCTGTTCGTCCTTCCACAAAGCAGTTCGCAATTTCCAGCTCCGGCTGGAATTCCCAAGCAGATACACCTTTCTCTTGGATCGCGAGGAACTGTGATAGGGAGATGTCGGTTTGCACGGACTCGGGAGGGTTTCCTTGGACAAACGCTATATACTATTAGTAAAAATGATCAAAACGACTCGCCCGAAGAATCATCTCCAGTCGTACCTTTTGCCCGTAAATATTCCGATCGCGCCAAGTCATCCATTGACTCTAAAGCTGCCACTTCCTCGCGCAAAAACGCTTGCTCGTCGTCGTATTCACCGGGCCTGCCGATGCGATCGAGCATAATCCGCCCCCGACGGGTATATTTGAAAAAGAAAAAGATCGCTAGTACAATGAATGCGACGGCGGCCGAGCCAAACGCGGACAAGATCCCAATCAGGATGCCTTTGCCGGTTGACCCGGTCGAGTTGCCACTGGCCAACATCGGCTCGGGACGGAACTCCATCGACAAAGAGGAGAGAACATTTTGTAGATTCGCTTGGATTTGCTGCTGTGAAAGTACTGGATCGCTTTGTATCGGTGTTGGGAATGGTGTTGAGACAAAGCCAATCGGTGACGTCGTCGGGTTGCCTATCACCGTTCTCAGGGTCGATGGCAGGCCTGCGAGCGCATCTGGGCTCGAAGCCTCAGGACCCTGCATCGTTCATGTGCCAACTAAAAGTACAAATAAAGAGAAAAAGCCGAGAGAAGTCGGAAAAAATGGAGATGTGGTAAAGAGGAGGTGAGAGAGAGAGGGAGAGATAAGTGGGCGCAGCGGATAAAATGGGCGGGTTATCTAAGACGTTTTCGGCCCTGGACCTAGAGCCCTGTACTAACAATGCAAGGTAATGTAGAGTTGGTTCCTGGATTTGAAGATCCTGGATCCTGGAATATTCAAAGGAATCTAATGTCTTTTTGTTAAACCAAAATTTGACTTTTCATTCTGCTCAAGGTAGAAATATGTGTAATTAGAGTAGAGTGTCACCTGGGGCTGATATGGTCTATCTATCCCTACTCGGGATAAGCCCTTCTCTCCTCTTCCCCTCTCTCCTAGCTCCTTGCTTGAGATCCCTCTCATCCCCTCTCTTTGAAGTTTCTTTTAAGTCTCGAAAGAATGCGTGCAACTAGAGCTACCCAGGGGTCTGCGGCTCAGGACGTCATGATCAATCCCCTCGACTCCTATAATATCCGCGTGGTGACACCCACCTCTTGCGATAAATACCCAGGTGAGTACACTTCTCCCTAGAGTGAATATCGCACGGTCGGAATGCCTTTATTTGACCTCCTTTGCCCTCTCACATACCTGGTTACTACTCCATTGAACCCCAATCGGTGGTCGCGTGAGACTCGAGCTAATCTGACCGCCCTCGCCAGCCAAGCATCATGCGCGTAACGTCGCCCGGAAGCTTGGAGCTTCAAGTGGCTTGATCTTCCTCTCCGGACAGCCGACAATTAATCTACGCGATTCCGATCAATCGCGCCCATTCCGGCAACGACGATACTTCTACTACCTAAGCGGAGTCGACGAGCCCGACTGCTCTCTAACGTACGATATTGGACAAGACCTGTTAACTCTTTATGTCCCTGATTTTGACCTTCACCGTGCTATTTGGATGGGACCGACTCTCTCGCGAGAGGATGCACAAGACAAATATGATGTTGACCATGTGCGGTATCGTGCTTCGCTCAAATATGAGCTACAAGCGTGGCTGGACGAGCGAAAGCAGGGCAGTGAGCTGTATCTAATCCATGACTCGGAGAAGCCCGAGCATCTACCAAAAGACCTGCCTTTGGACCTGGAACAGCTCGGGCCTGCTATGGACGCGGCCCGAGGCGTCAAGGACGAATATGAAATCCGGATGATCCGCCAAGCCAACAAAGTCTCGGGGCTTGCCCATCGGAGAATCCTAGAGAGTATCCAGACTATGTCCAATGAGGCGCAAATTGAAGGATCGTTTTTGAACACCTGCATCTCGCACGGCGCCCGCAACCAGGCATACCAGATTATCGCAGCATCGGGGCCCAACGCGGCTATCCTGCACTACGATCGAAATAACGAAACCCTCAACAAGAAACCCCTCGTCTGTCTCGATGCCGGCGCAGAGTGGAACTGCTATGCAAGTGATGTGACGCGGACTTTCCCGCTTACCGGCGAGTGGCCCAGCGACTACGTGCGGGATATCTACAAGATAGTAGAGCGCATGCAGGAGGAGACCATCCGGCTGATCCGGAAAGGGGTACGATATCTATCCCTCCACGATCTAGCCCATGACATTGCGATCGAGGGTCTCCTGGCTCTGGGTGTGTTCAAGAACGGCACGAATCTCGAGGTCCGTGAATCTGGCGCATCCAAGGTCTTCTTTCCCCACGGTCTAGGTCATCATGTCGGCCTTGAAGTCCACGATGTGTCGGAGCGGTCAATCATGGCTCTTCACCGGGGCTTCGATCAGCTTCAGTATCCCCCGATCTTGAACTCTACTTATCTTTCGCCATGCACTCTTTCTGCTCCACTGCTGGAAGAGGGGATGGTTGTGACCGTTGAGCCAGGGCTCTATTTCTCTCCTCTGGCTATGGCTAACGCGCGCCATCAGCCGTTTGCCCGGTACATTGATTTCGATGTTGCGGAAAAATATGTTCATATTGGTGGAGTGCGCATTGAAGATGATATTCTCGTGACTGCTACTGGGTACGAGAATCTCACCACTGCACCCAAGGGCGAGGAAAT